CATCATCTTTTACAAAGTAAAAGGGAGCTTTGCCCCTCTGTGAAGCAGGACACTTCATGTCTAAAATTTTCTTTTTTCTTTTAGTTTTGCATGATGTATGATTTCCTTGAGAAATATTTAGACTAGATATATCACTCTCTAAATCGTCAGATAGATTCTTGTAGAATGGTATCACTCTACTATAAATTGAAATTTTTTTATTATAAGGATCGATTTTTGTTTCATGCAACCACAGCCATTGCATTCCTAATACAAAATTAGCTTTAGGTTCTTTGTAGACTACAAAATCATTAAAAACTTCATCACTACCAGATACTAATTTATCCTTACCCTTAAATTGAAAAGATAATTCAAGGCTTTCCACAATACTTAAGGCATCCTTCATCTTCTTTTTAAAATATTTTGGTGGGTTACTATATTTTATTTCAAGTTTATCGACTAAGCTTTTTTTAATAATATTTTCAACTGATGATGTATCAATTAATGCCTTAACCAGGTAAGGTTCATAACCCTTTTCATGGATTTTATATTTTACATATGCCATCTTGTAATATAATTTATATTATATACTATATCTTTATCTAAAAAAATAACTAATTATTTATCCATTCTTTGATATATTATATATCGAGCTTGTGTCACTCTTTAGATCTTAATTTATGGAATAGTTCAAGTTGGTATTTGTTAGTATTTTAAATTGGTAGTACGTGACCCCCAGGTCACAATGTCATGTGACTACTGTGCTTTGTGTAATACAGTACGTGACCTCACAGGTCACAATGTCATGTGATTACTGCGCCACTGAGATCGTCAGATCTAAACCCACCTTAAGCGATCGTTGAATCTAAGGGGGTTAATGTTACCAGAAAAAATAACAAAAAAGGCTCTGACCGAGCGGAGTTGCTTTGTTAAGTGTGTTCTAGCATTTCGTTAGGTAACATAATTACTAATCATGTATCTTTTTTTCTGACAGGTTTTTTAGATCTAACGAATGTGAAGTATAAAAATAAGCAATTATGGCTTTTAAAATGAGATAGTATTATCTTTGCTTCTATATTTTTTATCAAAAAAGGCTTATATATTCACATTTTATTTTTGAGGTAATGTTTATTAAGGCGTGGGAAAATTATGGGCCTCACTACTTACTCATTTTTATTATGTTTAGAAACACAAAATGGGTGATAACGACCGTATTAATATTGATCTTAACTATTATTATTTAGTTAATGGTTATCAACATTATACTCGTACAT